GGCTCCTTTTCTCACAATGCATGAAGTCAAGAGTAAAAGTTGAGTTTAATTACCAAAGAGAGGAGCAGGGGTAGCGAGAGGCAGAGCTGTGTTTACATTCAATTTCAACTAGTTTGTCATAAGATTATGGTTATGACAGATTATCAAAAAATAGATATAGAAATAGATTTAAAGATATGCATAATGTGAATATTGAGAATACAGTTTATACTAAATGATTTGATTAAAAATAAAAATATAAACTTTGTGGGTAATTGTACAGTAATTTTGGATTTGTTTGATATTTAAACCTCAGTGCATTTAAAGGCATTTCTGAATGAATACAGGAAAACATAGAAAAGAAAATGAGAGATGATTCATTATATTTTTCAATATTGCTTCCTCCTATAACAGTGCCAGAATATTCACATTTGTTCATGATTTTTTTATAAGACGACAACATAAACATGATATAAAAGATAAAGGATTATTTAATTTGCTAATAAAAGCAATGGGGCTTGCAACGTTTTATAAAATATTTATACACGCTGTTGTAAAAACCTGCATTTTGCATGTAATATTCTATTATTAAATAACGCTTTTATGATTCATAATTTTCATCTTACATTGTGAAATTACAGTAGAATAACCATGGTGTTTACCACAAGCTTGTTTCCTAATAAAATGAAGTCCCGCCCATTCGTAACATGACTGACACACCATTGGTCAACTGTCTGGAACCTGTGTTTTTGTTTGTTTTTTTATTTTGCATTTTCTCTCTCATCTATCCTCCTCCAGTTCCCACTTACGTAACAGAGGCATACAATATTAACGAACCAAAGAGTATTTTAGCCTGTACAAGCATCATTCTTATGTACGTGTTTATATCTATCTAAATTAAATATTCACCCACTCCGTTTATTACAGTCAAAACTATATTAATACTTGCTCATATTGCAATATTAAAGCAACACTATGTCACTTTGTGGAGGTAGCTCATCATCTGCATGATTCCATGGAAATAGAAAGTTAAAATTAAATATTCTCCATAGGGATCGATACGGTTTATATCATACTGAGAAAATATTATAGCCAAAAGAGCAACATTTCCATGGAGACCAAATAAGAGTCAGTTTTGTGGAGATGCAAGCCTGCTCACAGTATGGTAACATGTTTTTGTCAGTTTTTCTGTGCAATAAATACTGTACAAGCAAAATGAAAATCATGCTTTTATTTTTGTCTATTTTTGGCTAAAAAGTTACATACTGGGGCTTTAAATATATGCAACAGATTAAATAAAAACAGCTTTAAATAATGATATAATCCATTCACTTATGGTTTCTCAGATACAATGCTTTTGTTCTATCTAATGAACCTGATTCAAATGTATTTTTGTATCTGAAATTAACAAATTATCTCCATTCAGCACTCTGTGTCCTAATCACGTATGCAGCATAAAGCTATGCTCCTCGCCGTCGCCATGGAGAGGGGAGAAATGTCATAATTAGCCAAACCGTGATGCACATCGAAGTCTGGATATGTGTGTGAATGAGGTCTGACAGCAATTAGTTTTATCAGCTGTCAATCACTTGTTCCCAATACACGCCTCCCTGAAGACCCCCCGCCATCTTGTTTTTTTATAACAGGCTCACTATAGACTTATAAGAGGTCAAAGGTTGCGTTTCCTCCCAGGCCACTTAAACATTCACTTAATTATACTTCAAAAGACATGGGCTAATCTTAGGATAGAATAAATAATAGAAAACAGGAAGTGGGGGTGACAGTGGGATTTGGAGGTGAAAAGGCAAATTTACGCCCATTTGTGAAGCAGTAGCAGTTTTCATTTTACTTCAAATGCAAATACTTTTATAGAAATATGAGTCTGAATGGTATCAAGGTAAAATGAGAATATTGTTAGAAATAACTTTGTTATTCTTACAATGACATTACAATAATTCGCTTAAAAGCCCTGAATCTGATTTTATCCGGTGTGTTTGAGCTAAATTTGTCTTGCTCCAGTATAGGTATTTTTTATAAGCAGATCTTGAGGGCAAAATAAATCCATGCAGCTGATCGCATCTATTTATAATCTGTTTTACTGTTCGAAAATCAGGAAGTGCACATAAGCTTGCTAGTTGTTGTTAGTTACCATCACGGCAAACCTCTACGCTGGTCTCTGAGTGTTGTCAAACTCACTTAAAACTCATATTGGTGAATAATTAGAATGCTTGGAATGCATAAGGTAAATGAAGAATAACTTGGGACCACTGCAAACTGCAAAAAGTCAGGTACAGCACGTTAACGCATTAAATAAAAATGAAATACTAAAAATCCCAGAATTCAAAACATAGCAGCATTCACATTTACACCACATATAAATGGGACTAAATTGGGACTAAATCCAGAACTACACCTGCACTTGATAATGACTAAACCAGGACAAGAATAGGACCACATGTCAGAACTAAACTAGAATGAAACCAGGACACAGAGCTGACACAACCTCAGTAATTAAGTTGTACTAAATGTGGTTTAGTTGATAAGGAGGCACTAAACCCATTTAAAGTTATCATATGTAGATGTGGGTTTGATTAAGATTATTGTTACGATTATTGCGAGAAGAAACATCATAATTTAACAGTGTACCTTGTAACATTTCTGGTTCAGGGTCCGCTACCTGCTTGTCTCCATAGAGTCGTTGTGGATTTCCCTGGAATGTTTCATGGTATGACATTAATCATATCCATTTAGCATTTATTCATTCATTATGGGGTTTCTATTGCCCAAATATTCCTTCTGTGAATAGGGGTGACCCTCCACAGATCTGAACTGTAATGTAGCATATTACTGTAGCCTGCTTGTTTCCCTCATGATAGATAGGGTTAGTCTATACTGTGGAACATTCTAGACACAGCAATAACATTTCCATTGAGGCCAGCAGGTAAAAAAGTTGAGCAGTGCACCTTTAATGATTACTGACACCATGAGCAAACAGTGTAATCCTGAATAATTCATGTTATCCTTGTCATTCTTATAACTCTGTCCCAGGGTTTCTCTGAAGTCTTCTCCAGCGAGATGGGCAGTGTGGAGCTTGGTGTCATTTATCGCCTCGACTTCAGTGGAGCGGCTCAGATCGGACGCTGCTCTCCGGATGATTACTCTCCCAACATGCACTTACTCACTCTGTATCAACTCTGCCTTGTCCACAGACTCCTCTAGCTTCCCTTTCACTGCCTTGGACATGTAAATCACAAGTGTACAGTCCTTATACAGCTTCATCAATACCTAATTTCACAGAACTGTAACGATATCCAAATCTCGCTTTACAATATTTTCACAGTACTGTTTTTTGCAATATTTTGTGGAGGCTAAGAAAGTCTGACTATGCCACTTTTTTTATTTTTAAAAGTCGAAAAAGCCGTTTAACAACAGTTATTTCTTCATGGAGTCTGGACTGAAATGGAGCAAAGGGTCATGGTCAATGTAGTTCCCTCTGTTTGTTCATGTATTGCTGCACCATAACATTGTTGAATTGTTTTAATACTGTTTTCTTTAGACTATATTGTGTAACAGAGCTACTTGGCCAGCTGTTTTTTGCCTTTGGATCATTATAGTGTATTAAAATGAAAGGCTTCATTAAAATTCTGCTTTGAGTCCTGATGTAGTCCAGTTAATCGACTCCTGACTTGGTTTGGTCCTGTTATAGTCCAGATTTAGTTCTAGCTTTGGGTTTATTCCCAGTTTAGTTCCAATTTGGATGTAATCAGTGAGTTTCAAAGCATGTAGCCTAAATATAAATGCTTTTGTGTACTAGTTTATTGTATTAATAATAATAATAATACTAATAATAATACATTTTATTTATATAGTACTTTTCTAAACATTCAAAAGACGGGGAATAATAGAGATAAATGTACATCTACTAGTAATTGTCTATTCTCTTCATCATAGTCTTCTAGCATTATTTACGTAACAGATTCCACTGCTTTATGGCTGGTGTACACAGATAGGGCCAGCTGCTTTGGCTGGAATGCGGGGCCATCCATTAGCAACTGGCTACTGTGAAGGGAGCGCGTTAGTGTGTGCAAGGCCCCGTGTTGATACAGGGCAGAATCGAAATGTCAGCATCATCCTGACACTGGCAGAGCATGGTGAGTTCATGAAAACAGCTGACAACAGAGAGACTATGCTACATCATAACAGATTAGCTCTCTAAGGACGCAGCAGGAATCCATCACGCACACAGTAATGCAGAATTATAGTTATTACAAGATTAGCCAATGCAATATTTGTATTAAACACTATGGCCTTTCAATAAGATATATACTACATGCATGGAATCTAAAATGAAAATAAGTACAAGTATGATATCCTTGTGACTACAACTGAGTGAAGGTTTGAAGTTAAGGTTAAGTTTTGACAAAAGGTGTCTACATTATTTCATTCTTGTCTCCATGGAGGTACTGCTGTGCTTGAAATGGTCCACAGTATAGCATTAAAATTAATTATATCTTTCATGCATTCAATCACAGGTGTTTTAATACTTAAAAACATCCTTTAAGTGAGCAGGACTACCTCTCCACAGATATAACCTGTAACTTGACCTTGTGGCGTCACCTGCTTGTCCCCATAGAAAAGATACATCAATATAGTTTGCAAATAAAATGCAAAATAAAAGGTAACCAATGTTTTCCATCTGTAAAGGGCATGCAGATGAAAAATAGGGCTAATTTGGGTACATTTACAGAAATGGTGATTAATGGACACTGTCCCTGCTAAATAAACCAAATACATAAAATAAATAGTAATATGATGGAACATTTCAGGCAAAGCAACAGCATTATCCCAGAGACAAGTGCATGGCAGACCCTCCAGCAAAAAGTTATACAGTGCATCTTAATTTAACTTTCATGAATATAACACTGCATTGTGAATATTGTCTGTATCCTCTTGTTCCATGCAGCCTTTTCACATACATATATGACATTACACTGGTATTACTGTATGGTTTCAGAACGTACCTTGATGGGGTCTGTGCTGAAGCGAATCTTCCTGGATGGGGGTGGCTCTTCTTCTGGAGGTAGTCCAGTGATCTCCACACAGCTGGACTCTGGTTCGTATCGGTCATCGTCCTCATCCTCATCCGCCTGACTCCCCCCAAAGTCCTCCCCCACAGCGCTGTATGTGCTGATATCCACTGACTCTGGTCCCGAAGGCTCATCTGGGACTCTCCTGTGCTCTCCCCCCTCTGTGTCCCTCCTGTCCTCTCCCCCCTCCGTGCCCCTCCTGGCCTCAGCCTCTGGCCTGACGATGTCACTGGTCTTTGGAGAGCTGTGTGAGTCGTCTCCATTCTCTGACAGATGGGAGTCATTTTGTGTTGTGCTTTTAGGTTCTTGTTCTTCCTCGACTTTGGCCTCGACTCCTGCATCTGACACAGTCTTTTGTTTGCGTGGCTCTACAGACAGTTCAGGAGCTGCACTCTCTCGACCATTGACACTCTCATATGGAGGTAGCACCTTTCCTCTTGGGGCCCGAGGTGGGGCCTCTTGGCCCTTGTTTGTCTCCTCCTCCCTGTTGCTTGATGCAAAAGTTGTGGCTCTCTTTGTGATTAATTTGGAGTTGAGAACACCCACCTTGGTGCTGACCCCCCTGGAGGGTAGAGGAGGGGTGGAGGACAGGCGGTGCAGGTTGTTTCTGAGTTCAGCTGCTCGCTCAAACACAGCACTGAGCTGGCTCACTGTGGGGGACACAGCCTCACTGGTGTCTAGGCTGTCCAAAGACTCTGTGCTGCCATTGAAGCGGGACACGTCCAGGCGGCCATCCTGGTATCCTGCGCCCTTGTCTGACTTCAGCAGGACTCTGGTGGTCACCAGTTTGTCCTGCTTCTCCTGCTGCTGTTGCTCAAAGATGCGCCTTGTCTCCTGCAGTTTGGAGTAGCTGGGTGAGGAGGCCCGCCCGTGCCCATTCTCTGGTTTCACATCAAACTTATTGACTCGATCAGACACAGTCGATCCCAGTTTCAACAAAGCGCTGTGGTCCACGTTCTCGTTGAGGCTCCCGGCTCTGGGCAGGGACACACGCCCCGGCTTCTCGATGCTCTTATCCTCCCCTTCTGCCTCCGCCGCCGGGGAGGTGGTCTGCATCTGCTGGAACATGTTCTTTATACGGTGCACGTTGGAGCCGTACCTGCGCCCACGGGGGCCCTCCTGCACGTCCCCGTTGGATGCATTGTCTTTGACGGGCTTGAGGGCCTGCATCCCCGCCTCGTACGCGTTCCGGTGCGGGGATGGGCTCCTGAGCGTGGAGCCGGCGCTCTTGGAGGTGGACTCGGTCTTCATCATGGTCAGTCGTGCGTCACCCTCAACGGATGCTCAGCGACGGCATGTCTCCTTTGACGACTCCCGGTGTGGCGGCGCAGGTCTGCGGAGATGCACCGAGCAGCAGCTGAGAGGAGAGCGAGGTGGCGCCCAGACTACACCGGCAGATGGAGAGAAACAAAAACAACAGATCGTGTTATAGGCCGCGTGCATCCGTTGCAATCCTGGTCCAATGCAACGGTGAAAGTGAGCACGATGCATCTGTCATTAGCTTGCCCGCAGTTACATTGATATAGGCTACATTACCAAGAAGCACGGGCATTCGCTGTGAGCATAAAATGTGTCGCACGGAAAGTAGAACAAAAACAAGCCGTGGATTTACCGCAGAGGACGACAGATTGCTTACGTTTAATCCCTTTTTACAGACAGCATCATTTTGATCTCTTCATTCTGGGAGCTGCAGATTTCTGGTTCTCCTCGCGTAGCGGCGGTGTGCTGCGGCTGCACCGAGGGGAGCCCGCGGGGTCCTAGCGCCGAGTCGGCCCCTCCCCCTTTACCCAACACAAGCGTGGCTCCTGTGCCGGAGTGTAGAAAGACCTCTTCATATCAATAATAACAAGGACACATAACCACACAGTCCCTTCATTTTGCCCAAACCAGATGATAATAAAACAGACGCATGCATCACGAAAAACATCACGATGCATCATCATAAGGCTAAATCAATGTATTTATTTATCCAGGAAAGAAAAAATACTTTTTTTTTTTTTTTTTTTTTTTTTTTTTTTTTAAAGAAAATGTAACCTATCCTGTAACCTATATTTCAGTTTACAGTTACATTTGCATTAATATTCTACTACTGCTCAATAGCAATTATAGCAACATCTCTAAAACATGTAAGTCTCCAGGAGGAAAAGTTGACAGCTGATAGCTAAGGTCAGTTAAATACAATAAATCAATTAACCTGCCCACGGACTACAGGTGGAAATTAGTACTGGTGCTACAACCTGGTACAATGCATCTCTCCTGTTAAGGTTAATGGATATTGTGCAGTGTCCCTGGCTCATTAAATAAATAAACTAAACCATATTCATGTAGGTAGGTTCAGTGTTGAGTTAAAATCGGTGTAAAATAGGCCTTTTGTTAGCTGTTTTATATCAAGATTTTAAAAATGGTTTAAAATAGTATTTGAAAGTGGAGGCCCATGCAAGTTGAGCCCATGGCATAGCTCAGCCTGTATGAGTCTGTTTGTAACAGGTGGGAGAGTTCAGTGAAAAGCCTGAGCACACATGGATTAGAGTTACACAGATTATGGGGCAAACAGCCAAATTTGTCTACAAACTGGACAGATTGTGCATTTACTATCTCTAAATCTTACCACATTACTGTACCTCTTATACTCATATAATTCTACCAAAACCTAACACATTTTTTTCAGGTTTCCTATAGGTTAATACACCTGCCTGTAATCTACTTTAAACCTATCCTCCTGTAACGTATTATGCAAGGTTTTTTTTGTGTTTTTTTTTACCAATATCCACATATTTATTTAATAATTATGTCCATGGTAGTAAATCATAACAGTAAATCAAGTGTTACGCCCACTGATTTTAGTGTCATACGTGAGAGAGGCAGGCGCTAGGACCAAGCAGACGTCACGTACGTCAAACCTTATTGACCAATGACATCCGTTATGTGCAGGCTCAATGCTGCTTCCTGCACTCTGCATCTGATCTGTGCTTATAGATGCATTAAACATTAGCAATACAGGTAGCACAAATCTCTTTTAAACAGTTTTTAATAGTAAATTTGATGTTTTGGAATATCAGATGGACTGGCAAACTACATTGTTATTAATCTGTTAAAGTCTATAATTTGGTCATGCAGTTGTAATTACTTTGCTGCAAACCATTGGAGAAATAGTTTTGATAGAAAATGTGTGGTAAGTACTGCAGTCACGTTCCCTGCAGTGGTTAAGAAGCTCCTAGGGATTTGGCTTGACTTGAGTGTCATAATAATTTTAAGTCGCTTCTTTCTGAGTCTCAGGGGAACAGAGTGTGCAAAAGTTCAAATAGCTTTTCTGACACTGAGCTAAATTATTGGCTTTTCAATACTGTGAACAAATCATAATAGCTTGCATTTGAAAGTGGCTTGTTGTGCTATGCTGGAATCAAATAATGCAACCCAAAATTGTCTTATAAATGACCAAAGTTATAGAGAATTGTGTCTGTACTGCAAAAACAGAACTTTGTGATAAATATATACTCCACTTGGGGTTTGAAAATCAGGAGCCCAAGCTTTAAAGACATAGTAAGTTTTCTTTTATCCAAAAATATATACTAAAATTTTGGTTGTGTTATTACATGAAAAACGTAGAGGACTTGCATTTCCACAAACTCATGGAAATTTTGTTTTCTTTAGGTATTCTTTCACAGTATGACCTAAAATTATGAGGTGACGTAACACCTCCAAAAAGTTACATAGGCTGCTGTGTCTTTAAGTAGGCTATAACTGCTTATTACATATAGACACAATATTATGAATGAATATTTGCTTCAACAAGCAAACAACCATGAGACTTCATAAAGCCAATTCTTTTCAGATCAACAACAGTGTGTTTCAGAGCTCAAATGGCCAATTTAACAGCCCTGTAAACTGGAGTTTAGACAATGAGTAAAAATCCAACTTGGGGATGTTGGAGATGTGAAGTGGTTGTGTTGAGTTGGAAATTCCCCACAGCTCTCACAGACGTCACCCAAGGTCAAAATCCCAATGTTTTTGTTACAAACTTGACAAATCACTGTTATCACTTCACTGATATGAAACTGTTGCTTCTTCTGCTTTCTTGAGGCGACACTCACTCGTACAGTTAGTTGGAGAAATATTTTTTTGTGTTATATATACATTTTTTATAATATGTATATGTGAACCTAGATGGACAAAGTATCCAAAATTTACCAAAATAACTTACGAAGTGATTTTTAGTAAGAGTTAGAGTAAACAAGTATTTGGAGAACCTAACACTTAAGTGAACTGTTTGTAAATGCATTTATAATATGATATGATTTACATAAGTTCATGTAATCAGACAGACAAAATTAAATATATACTGTATATTATAGATAATACACACAAAAATGTCAATATAAAGCTTTTGTAACAGTAGAATTACTCAGAGTGGAAAAAGTAACCACAAATTTACTCAAATAAGAGTACAATATATTACTCAAGAAGAAGTAAAAGTATTGTGTCAGAAAACTACTTTTGAAACCTACAAGCATGCCCATAAACTTGATAATATTCAAATCCTTTACCTTTATATCTTATGCATAATTACAGACATGGCATGCATTTTAATGATGTAAGCTAGTCATGTGTAACTTTACTATGTTTTTTGAATGAATGCAGAGACCCCAGACAGTGTGCCGGATGTTATGAGGTGAGTGGGTCAAAAATAGCCGCAGCGTCGTTTGTGGAGACCCAGCCCTGCTCCTCTTGGCCCTGTCAATCACAGCCCAAAACAAGATGGCAGAACGGAGGAGCTGGTTCTTCTTCTTCACAGGCGAGTTTTATATTGAAATTCCTTGCACATAGTCACAAAAACTGAAGTAGAATTGTTGACACTGGCATTTGCTTTGATTGCATTCTAATCTATGTGCATAACAGTAACTATGGGGCTACAGCTTTGTCAAACTCTTTACTCTTCAGTACCAGGTCGTAAATATTTGACTGTCTGACCATTATTGAACTACACCAGAACTAAACTTTGACTTAAGCACGAGTAAACTATAACTTATTGGACATAAAGACATAATATAAATAGGTTTTAAGTTTACAAAGTTGTTTTAAAGGTCCTATATTGCAAAATCTACTCTTGTGAGCTTTAAGCAATGTTGTTTCCGCCTTAAAAACATACCTGGAGTTGTGTTTTGTTTCATTCACACATGTTTGAGTAATCCTTTAATATTATAGTCTGTTTGCATTTTCAAAACTCAAAATGCTTTGTGATGTCAAGAAGTGGTAGTATTCAAGTAAACAGCTACCTTTTACCTTTAGTTCAGTAGAGAGTGGTAGTTCCAGGGCTGAAATTATCTAAATTATTCTAGTGAAGGTGTATGGAGGTTAAAAACACAGTGGAGTACTTCCTGTTTTCAGTTTGAGAGAAGAACTCAACCCAAATATGTAGAATTTGGATGTGTGGATGAAGCAAAACGCAACTCCAGGTGTGTTTGTGATGAGGAGACAACATTATAACAGATCAGAAAATATCAGAATGTAGGCTTTTTAAGTATTACCAGAAGAAGCTGACATGACTGCAGTGAATATGCAGTATAATAAAACTTCTTGACCTTTAATGTGAATAATTCATACAATGTTTATTTGTTTTCCAGTCTGTGCTGTCAGTGTTTTGGGGGCCAATGCAGAGTTTAAGTTCACTGTCCCTGTGGGAAAGTTATTTACATATGAACTCATGAGAGAGACTTTCCAGAGTGACTTTGAGCCAATATCCAAACTTTACGGTATCTATTCTTGTCCTCCTCACTATTACGAATTTTCATTGTGATGATGTGAAACTAAAATATCTTTCTTCTCGTAGCTGGTAACTTGTATGATGACCCCATAATATTCAAGTGCAAGTTACAGAATTTTCCAGACCTCCCAGAGTGGCTAAGGTTCACCCAGAGACACCCATACGATAATGGATATCTGTACGGTACACCCATGGTCCCTGGTAAAAGTATCATTGAGGTAAGTCTAGTCAAAAATGTGTATGGGATTTCCCTGTTGCTAAAATTTCACATTGACTAGAATAGAAGTAATTTGAGGTGCAGACTTAATTGCAGCGTTTAGTAACCGCAACCGTTTTTGAGGAGTATGTTGCAATGTGTTATGGGAAATGTAGGAAAACACAGATGTAATGCTAAGTTTTAAAATGCTGTTTGGTTTGACAGGTTTGGGCAGTAAACAAAAGGAGCTACCAAACTACAAGGCAAATTGTTGTTATAAAAGCAGTAGAAGGTAAGAATTATCCTTTTTGTCATAACAAAATCATATAAAATGGAAAAGAATGATGCAATGTGGATTTTTGTGCTGTTACTGATATCTGATATTTGTCTTGCTGCTGTGACTGACAGATTTTAAAATCTATAGCAAGACCAAAAATTTTAGGTTAAGTTATAGTAAAGTTCGCTAATAAAGAAATGTATTTATTTGGAATGTAAAAAATGTGTTACATATGTAAATGTACAGCCATACTTTTTACCTCTACTCTTCTTTTTTAATTCTAGTCTATTCAAAAAGACAAATCTGATGCACTAAGAACAAACTGGGAATGACACAAGGGCACACAGAGATTGGGGCAATGCAGAAACACTGGTGCCAAATTTCAGATAAATGTACAATACAGAACCGATATTGTCAATTTGTGCACCTCCTTTAGAATTTTTATAGGTGATATTGCAGCAGATATGTCACCCATTTATAGATAATGTATTTTTAAGTTGTGTTCTGTTTTCATAGTTTTTGCATGTATTTGAAGGGTTCTGTTTAAAGTATAAATTATTTTACTTGAGTATGTTTGACTACTCTGACCATGTTAATATAATAACCATTTGCCCTTCAGAGAAGATCCTGCCCTATCAAGCAGAGTTCTTCATTAAACTGCGAGAGATTGAGAAGGTGCTGCCCTCTGCTGTTCAGAGTGAGATAAAGGCCGACCTGCAGAGACTGTGGGACACAGAGGCTTTGGAGATAGTGAACATGACCAATGCCCTGGACCGAGGGGGCAGAGTACCCCTCCCTCTGGCAGGACACTTTGAAGGGTAACACAGCCTATTGACATTTGGGCCTGTATAATAATAAACCTAAAAAAGTTACGTCCAATCTCTTCAAAGATAATCTGAAACTATTATTTGCGTACTCTTAAAACTTAGGAAGTCAATTTGATGACAACTTTTTCCAAAAAAAAAAAAGGTTTGTAAATGTTATGTAATAAGAAACAACACAAACAAATGTAATGGTTTACTTATTTCTAGCCAAGACAAGCCAAATTTGTAATAATTTACAACAGAAATGAATTAATAGAAAACTGTGAATGTTTTTTATTGGTGAACATTTACAAAGTATTTGCATCTAAATTATCTTAGTTGTGACCCCCATAAACATAAAACAAGCTACCTACAAAATTATAATCTATTATATTTTCTTTCTTTTTTTTCCATATCATCCGGGGACCCCTGAAATCAATTGGGGACCCCCATGTTGAGAACCACCCTGTTTGTGACTGAGGCAATAATTATTCATGGTTATATTTCTAGTAATTGCTAAGCCCCAAGACCAAAGACATTTATTTATTGATGTATTTTCCATCACTGACTGATACCCTGTGTATGTATGTTGGTTCCAGCGTGTATGTCAAAGTGGGCTCGGAGCAGTATTTTTCAGCCTGTCTCCTGAAGGTGCTGAGTCCGGACCATTCCAGACAGTGCAGTGAAGCCGACAAAGGGGCCAAAGTCAAAGTCCCGGGAGGATGTAACTTCTGCAGTATCCCTAGCAACTGCATCACCTGGTGCAAAACCCAGCTGGTAATGTCACACTTCACTCCACAGTGCAGACTATCGAGATTTGCTTTGAATGTCATATCTTTGTTCTTTTACTATTTATTGCATCAAAGTGCGATAAAACTATAACTAAACTGTGTATATGATGATGTAAAGGTGCACTATGTAACGTTTCTGTAGATTCTATTTGAACAGAAGGGTCTGGAAATATAAAAATGTGTCAAACAACCAAGCACGTGACTTTCAAATGCTGAAAACATCTTAAATTTTCTGTATCGCGTATTTTTATTTTAGCAGTGCTTTTCTCTGCTTGGTTCATATGTGTGTTAATCACGGGCATTGGAAATTGTAAAGCCTCAAGACGCACCTTATACAAATAAAGGTCACTTATAGGTCAGGCTGTTGTGTTAATGCATATATAGACATTTTAAAATTCAAATTTGGTTATAAACATGATTTGAACTTCTGCATTGTATTATGATGCCATTGTGGAGAACGAAGACCCCTGCTTTAATAGATTCTATCCTTTCTGTTCTGTCTTCCTCCAGTTTGATCTGTCCATCGCGACGCCTCCCCCTCCCGAACCCACCATGGGAGCTGGGATCCTGGAGGAGGGGGGAGACTTCGACCCCCCCGAGTCCCCTCCCAGCAGAGACTATTTTCCAGACTACATTGTTACTGTGATCGTGTCCCTTATCATTGCCATTGTGCTTTGTGTGCTGCTGGCCTATGTTATGTTCTGTAGACGAGAGGGAGTGTAAGTAATGCTATTTAAGTTGGTTAGACAATACAAAATGAGGAAAAAAGACTAAACTAACAAGTGACAACATCTTTCTTTTCATATTTTCAGGTCCAAAAGGAACGCAAAGACAAATGAGTAAGTCGTTATTTTATATTTCTCAGTTACGCATACAAGTATTAAAAAAATCCTGACAATAAATAAAAATAAGTACATGCAATGGAGTGCGGTGCATGCATAGACTGTATATATACATGGACATAGCTAATGTTCATGGAGACATTTCCGACTCCATTGACTCTGGCCCCAATTGACTTTACACCGAAAAATTGTAACTGATGCAGTGGGCGTCGTCGTTTTGGTCTTAAAATGTTCATATTAAACAACTCTACGTGATTCCGGTGTTTTTATTTTGCTATTTTGTCCGTGAATATCGTACATTCCTTTTCCTAATAAGCAGAGGTGGGGACTTGTAAGGTGTGACTGGGACTCGAGACAGACTTGAGTCACTATTTTTAGGACTTGAGACTTGACTTGATAAAATGGACCAAGACTTGGAACTCGACTTGGACTTTAAGATTAATGACTTGGGACTTGCCTCGGACTTGAGGACTGTGACTTGAGAAGCACTTTTAAATCTGAATTATTTCTATTCTAACTGTAATGAGTCACTCTATGATCTTGTTAAGACATTTAAAAAGGAAAATTTGCTTTTCTGCAACTCTTATATACTCATAAATACTCATATATAATATACTATGACTGTATAAGTACAATTTAGTTATATAAATTGCAAAAATCTAAGTTACTTTGGTTTAAAGACTTGAAATGACTTCAAGTTCAAAGCAGATGACTTTGTCTTGACTTATGGGCCAGTGACTCGAGACTCGACTTGGACTTGCCTGTCTTTGACTCGGGACTTGACTTGGACTTGAGGTCAAAGTTCAAAGGTCAAAGGTCAAACTCGGCTCCAAATTTGCTCCTATAACTGCCAGCCTCTTGAGCTTCATTTGACTGGAGCCAAACACTATGGGTAACATCACATTCCCTCAGTTCACTTCTTCATACAATCAATGGGTGCGTGCTGGGGCGAGGGTCTTTATCACCGCTTTTGGTTTTAATCGAAACTATTTTAAATATTACCGCAAATGCAATAATGTTGTTGTTTTTTCCAGATTTCAGCTGTACCATCACCACACCATCCTCCAGGACACAGATGAGTTGAGAAACATGGCGGCAGATCGCAATGGGCCTCCGCCTCTGTCCACCATGCCCATGTTTAACTACCGGACGGGAGAGAGAGCGGCCCCCCTACAGTCTGACAGCATCCCCCTCATCCACGCCCAGCAGTGAGTATATGTTTGAGGTAATATCTAGGGAAGGGTCAAAATCTCATGCCACAAGATCTCGTGAGACAAAACTGCCTCAAGATCTTGTAAATTTTTTTCATATTTTTACATTTGCTTTGGATAAAATGATTAACTTTGCTGACTAATTCCTATTGAGCACAGCAAAACTGTAAAATTAAATTAATAAAAAGTTGTGAAGCCAAAATTGTGAACTGAATACTACAATTTACTAGTATTTATTAAAAATTATGCCCCACTCCTTAGAAATTGTGTCTTGGCCCATCCCTAAAAATTGTTGATTTTGATATTTACTAGTTCGCGTTTGGTTTAACTTCTTTTTCTTTTTTTTCAGTGAGCCCCACAGTGACCCACAGCCCAGATAAAACTATATATATTGATTGTACTGTTCTAATTTGACAAAGTACAGAGTGGAAATAAACTTTAAGCAGTAATGACCAGATGTGCAATAATACTCTAATACTCTTGGTACTATAGTTTTGTGTATTTATGCTGAAAGTATTTGCAGTGACAGCTGTTATGAAAGTATTTGTGTGTTTTAAATCATACATAGTTATTACTGTTTGCGAGCTAAATTCAAAACTGCATATACATGGCTTTCAGTTTACTCTGTGGATGCTGTAACTTGTGGTATTTTTATTGCATTAACTGAACAAAAGTAATTTATTGTATGTGTAATTGTTTAAAAAAAATAAACTGTAGTTGGTGGATAATGTAGCTCATTTGCCATACTTTACATTATGACTGAAGTTGTCTTCAGGGTTGATGTGATTGCTTTATCTTGAATGTTCCATAGTGTAGTATGTAACAAATCTAAGCAGATGGGGCCGCCTCACCAAATTACAGGTCAGCTCTGTGGAGAGGTGAACCCACTAACACTAAGAGTGCATGTTTTTCAAGACATTTTTGAGCAATAAAAACACATGTAGTTGAATAAATGCAAAATAAATTCAAGATTCATTTCTTGAACATTTCAGGCAAAGCTATAACATTTTCATGGAGACAAGCAAATGGCAGATGCTCCACCAGAAAAGTTACACACTGCCTCTTTAAATAAAAACACAACCTTACCTTATCCTCAATGCACTAGTGCTGCAGAATATGTCCACCAGGTGTCACTGCAGCATCTGAAAACAACAGATGGCATAGCACACATCTCTCCTCACCAGTGTATACTTTTTATGTGTGAATTTTACCATCATTTAACTTAATTCATATATTTAAATGTGTTTTTATAATCTAGGTTTTTCTCTGGGCCTGTTTTCACTGCATATGGCAAATGTCAGGGCAACTATTGTGGAACATGTAGATCGGGCTCCACTGATACATTATATAATGTGTATGCAAGTGTCAAATGCACTAAAGTATAATGTTTTTTTTAAGTTTCACAACAGTTGCACACAGGACAGTGAAAACTGAGTAGACCACTTCACATGCTTTATTTCAGCACCCAAAATAATTAAAAACATCTCGATTTATTATACATGTACAAAATAAGTACAGAATCTCTCTTTAAAACCATGAAAGTGGGTCTGCTTCAAATTTCCTTTTTTTCTAGAAACCCTTCGCGAAAAGACATCAAGAAACAAACATTAACAACATGGAGAGATGTGTGCAAGATATTTTAGTGAGAATTTCCACAGTGGTACAACAGACAAGATGTGGGCAGAAAAGTTAGGAGTTTTAAACCAGGGTGAGTTGTTGTATCTACAAAATATATATGATGCATGCTTTACATCTTTGCATAGGACCTCCATTCTCAAAACCAACACGTCAGAAGGCAAAATTGCACTGCATAGACAACAAAAAGTCAAATTTATAGCACCACGTTCTGCAGGCATTGGTGAAATAGTTACAATATTGACAGTAGAAACCCACTGTCAAATATAAGCTGGTCTGAGCACCTTAGGATGTTGCAAACTGTGTGATTATTGGGGTGACTTCTTGTATTGAGGTAGCCATCTACATATTTCCTTTGTCTTGCTGGTATCATTTTGGTGTTTTGGAAATTTAGAACAAGAAGACACTTCACACTTTTTACAATTTATTTAACACCAGAAAAATGGTACAATTTATTTGTTGTTTTCAATGTCCTTCCGCAGTGGTGGGCAAAAATGGCAAAGGTCATCTGTTTTTTCAAAATATCCGAAGGGAATTTTTTCATATACAAAACCATATATTATTTTCTTGTTGCCAGTGGAAATAAAGGTGTCATTTTAAAAAAAAAGTGTCCTTGGGTTTTTGGTAGAAAAGTAGCAGTCCCCAAACTTCTCATGATTGAACAATCCTTTGTAGAGTGGTTTTGAGAGCATGTTGACCGTAGGCAGCCGAATGAGTTTGAATGCACAGAAAGGGGGGATTTTAGAGATGAACTGCTAGAAAAAAACAACAATTTCATGTCCATATTTCGTTCATTTTTACAAGAAGCAAACAGGGCCGATTTCAGCGCCAAATTCCTGATCGGGAGCACCAACATCCATAGGAGCAATGTCAATGATTGGCAGGCGAGATGTCTTTGTTGTCTTGTAGTCCATGACTGTCTTGCCCCATGTGCCAGTGTGTGACTGCAGGGAGGAAAAAGAGAGATAGAATTAATTAGATGTAAATAAGTAACTAAATAAGCAAAATAAGTAAAGGAAATAAGTACACAATAAGAAGTAAGAAGGTACTAGTCATCTTGCCTCAGTGTAGTTACTTAAAGGTGCACTGTGCAACTTTTTGGTTGGAGTTCTGTCTCCATCTTGTTTCTATGGATATGTTATTGCTCTGCTTTCAAGCTTCCATAATATGACATTAAACAGATCTAAGTATTTATTCAATTACAGGTGGTTTTATAGCTTAAAAATACCTAGAAAAACAGGCATTCTGAGAGAGGGATCGCCTTTCTACAAATCTGACCTGTAACTGTAACTTAGCTTGGTTTGACTCCATGATGAAAGGTTTAATGCCATAATGTGAAACATTTCAGACAAAGCAATAACATGGAGAAACTAGCTGGTAGACCCTCCCCCAGAAAAGTTACACAATGTACCTTTAAATATTGAAGATTTGTCTTCAATATTCCATAAACATTAAACATCTTTATCCTCTGATCAAAGCTATACATTTTCAAATCAACTATTGATTTTGACTATTTAATTATTTTACTTTCTGTGTCAATCAACCAGCAGAATCAGTTCCTCACTTGTATAAACCCTAAAGGGCTCTCTAATCTCTATGATGGATATTTATGGGTTCAGCTCTCTGGTATTATGTGGTATTTTGATTAATTTTACCCATTCAAAAACATAATATTTTAGTTCATGTTATTTGTGTCAATTGGTATAACAATGGTACAAATTTTTATCTTTCTGAAACCCTTGTAAATTTATGACTGACTGACTGTACTGCCATTATTAAACCAGTAAGACCAAATGTTACAACCATTAAATTCCCAAGTCTATGCAAGCATCAAAATCTATTCAGACATGACAAAATAATATTCCTCATATTGAATAACTAAAACACATACTCCAATTAGTGTTGTCACAATATAAAAAAATCAAAAAGACTCAATACTCCTACCCATTTTGATACCCCCATGACAATTCTGAAAGGCTCCATTTATAGACAATAGTTATTTTCAACACAAATTAACAGTCCTTTCATTATGTTGTGTTATGTTATATTTTGTTTGTTTTAATGTTTTTCATATTCTGTAAAGCACTTTGAATTACTTCTTGTACAAATTTACCTATACAAATAAACTTGCTTTGCCTATGTGGTTTTAACTGTTCAAAAAAGGTAAAATTTTGGCCTGTTGATGTCATTTTTAGATCATCAATACTTGCACAAATGAGTATCATGTTTCAATACCAGTTTTAGTATCTCTGACTCTCTGATTTTTTTACTTTCGCCTGTTTAAATCAGGGCTACAACGTATCTATTCTTTAATACTGAGTAACGTAGTGGCATTGCTTTTCCATGTTTTTATATTGTGTTGATTTTAATGTAAAGCATATTGGTGGTCGTAAAGAGCTCTATAAATAAAGTTTGATTATTTGACTGATTGATTTTGATCCTTTTGACTACCCCCCTATCCCCCCATGGTGCGTACCGTGCAGCCATCCTCGCTGACGGAGTAGGTGAAGCGGCTGTTGCCCTCGGCTCTGATCTCCACGTCGTTGGAGCCCTGGAGCAGCAGAGCCTTCTTTCTGTTGCCCGTGGCAGCGTCTGTGTAGGCGATGCTGTTCTTGCAGTGATATGTGATGTTCTGAGATGCCTGGTTGGACATCAGGCGCATGAAGGTCATCTGAATGCTGACGTCTTCTGGGTCGGAGCCCTCACTGCCATACTGGAACTGTAAAGAAGGTAGAACAGGTATTTAACGAGAGTGTTGTAGTAGTAGTAGTAGTAGTAGTAGTAGTAGTAGTAGTAGTCACGGTCTTTTCGGTCCTCTTTTCCTAGTCCCATTTAATTAGACAATTGATGCCCCATGGATTGATATAAAAGTTGTTTGTTTTCTTTTTCTTTCAAAGTAATTTTCTATTAACTAAAATTAAACATAACTCCAGGTTCTACAACAAGTCCCTCTTTTCTGCAATTTGAGGTGGTCACCCAAAATATCGATGTGGAATTAGAAGTAGGTGTTATACTAGTAGTAGTAGTTGTAGTAGCATTGTAGTAGTAATTTAATAGCAATGATTCTAGCAGTAGTGGTAGTTGGAGTAGTACTAATGGTAGTAATGATAGTAGTATTATTATTAGTAGGTGTGGTAGTAGTAGTAGTATGAGTTATAGCATTGTGAGAATATTAGTAGATGTAGTAGTAATCTCTTAGTAATAGTAAAAGGTGATGTAGTTTTCTGACCTGGAATCCACCGGTCATGGACTCGCTGAACCAGACGTGCTTCTTCTCTCTGCTCTGGCTGATGTACCAGTTCTTCATGGGGATGGTGGACTGGCTGGGGTAGATGCAGGTCTCTCCAGTCTCCATGTTGCAGTGAACCTTGATGGCATCAAGAGGAGAGCCCTGGTTGGGGTCCACCCAGTATGATCCTGTGAGAAATACAAGTATTCATGAACTGGGTCCTTTGAATCTGTCTATTTCACCACTATAATGCACGTTTTGACACTCACCGCTCTTCCACTCGGGGTGGGACATCCTCAGGTCACGGCACATGCGGATGGGGCTCTTCTGGGAGCCGTCGGGGCTGCGGATCTTTTCAATCTTCTGGGTGAGGGTCTTGAGGGTGGTGTCCACCTCAGTGTCACGGTCAGCGATGGCCTTGGGGTCGTCAGCACGGTAGTGTCCTCCGCGGAGAGGATCAGGGCCCTTCTCCTGGAGAGGCTGGCTCACAAAGTCAAATCCACCGCCAGGGGGTCCAGGGGGTCCAGGGGGTCCAGGAGGTCCAGGAGGTCCCTGTGAGGAGACACCAGTGTTTTACAAACAACATTAGTCTTACAGACATCTATACTGCATCTGTTACTCTCTGTAGTCTGAGAACACTGGTCTACACATCTTCTACTCATCTAATCAGCCACAAGCTTGTTTCTATGGGTTTGAACTACAAACTCACAGCAGGTCCCATCTCCCCATTGCGACCGCGAGGTCCAGGAGGTCCGAGTGGTCCGGGCATGCCATTCACTCCATCTTTACCAGGGGAACCGTTGGATCCAGCAGGTCCCTGAGAAGCCACAACAGAGAGGCAACTTTAGTCTTATTAAATGTAATTCAAACTGCATGTCTTTGCTCATATTTATATGTACAATAAATAATAATTTATTTTATGAATTTTAATACTCACTCTAGGTCCAGCGGGTCCAGAGGTACCAGCAGGTCCTCTCTCTCCAGAGGGGCCCTATATATCCAAACATGTGGACATTAGAATATAACAGGTGCTTTGAGTGATGACTTAAAGCAGTTTGGGTTTATGTGTTTTAGATACTCACAGCAGGTCCAGGCAAACCCTGCATTCCAGAGAATCCTCTGTGTCCCTTGTGGCCTCTCTCTCCAGCCTCACCAGCCTCTCCTCGGTCTCCCTTAGCTCCAGCAGGGCCCTAAGCACAGATATATTGATTTATCATAGTGCAATGTAGAGTAATATATCATAGGTTTATATGGATGATAGGTGTAGGTGGAGATGCACTTACAGCAGGTCCACGTTGGCCAGCAGGACCAGCAGGACCAGCAATACCAGCAGGACCCTACAACAAGAGCAAGGCAGTGTGGCGTCAGATATCATACAACAGTTTAAATATGTAGATATAAATAGACTATATAAAGCAAGAAAATGCTCACAGTCTCTCCACGATCTCCAGATTTGCCAGAGGGGCCAACGGCTCCGGGGGCACCAGGAGCACCAGGAGGTCCAGGGGGTCCAGCATTGCCACTCTCTCCACGGTCTCCCTATGGAAGTATACATGAAGCATTTTCTTCAACCATATTACTGTGGTAAAGAGTGTATAAACAGAGAGAGAGGGATACCTTGGGTCCAGGAGATCCATCACGTCCAGGGGCACCATCGTGACCTTGGGATCCCTGAGGTCAGACACAAGTTTAAACATGGGTTTGTCCAAGGTGCTAAATTGTTATGCATTGTTTGATTGGTCTTATTACTTTAGAGCATTCTTATTATGTTGTATAGTTAAACTCTGATCTGTACCTCACGTCCAGCCTCTCCAGGGGCTCCAGACAGTCCAGGGGGTCCAGCAGGTCCTGGGGGTCCACGCTCTCCTACAAGGCCAGCGGGTCCCTGCTTTCCAGGCTCACCCTGAACACAACAAGGACAAGGTCAAATGTAGGAGTTCAAATGTAGGAGTTCAAATGAAGGAGCGCTGATCATGATAAAACTTAGTTCTCCATAACACAGTATTATAAACAGAACACTCACTCCAGGTCCGGGCAGACCAGTGAAACCTCTCTCTCCACGCTGTCCGGGCAGACCCACAATACCGCGCTGTCCAGCAATACCCTGAGGTCCAGGCAGACCAGGGGAACCCTACAACACACAGACATGAGTCTGGAGGAGCAAAGAAAAACTTTACTTAAGCACTATCACTGTCATCACTTACAGGAGCTCCATCAGAGCCAGGGGATCCCTTCTCTCCAGCTATTCCAGCGGGTCCAATGCCTCCCACCTCTCCAGGGCGTCCAGCAGGTCCAGTCTCACCACGAGGTCCTCTGGGTCCATCTTTGCCAACGGGTCCACCGGGGCCAGGGGGGCCAGCAGCACCCTGTCAAAGATCATCAGTTATCACGAAAAGATCATAATAATATAAGCTTTAAAGACAAGTTCATTATGTAACACTTACAGCAGGGCCAGGGGGTCCAACTCTGCCAGCAGGTCCAGGGAAACCAGTAGCACCCTAAAACATGAAACCAAAAAGGGTGAATGCTCACTTTAATATTATGATCAAATCAAAAGTTTTCTCTGAAAAAGGAAATTTACAGGAGGTCCAGCACCACCACGAGCACCCTTGGCTCCAGTGGGTCCAGCAGGTCCCTGAAGACACAAACATTTATGTCAGACACACATAATGACACTACAACACTAAAATGATATATGTTGAACCAGAGATGCCTTTTTCAGACCCAGGTTCATGACCAACCTGAGGTCCAGCAGCTCCCACAGGTCCAGAAGGGCCGGGGGCTCCAGCATCTCCTTTGGGTCCAGTGTCTCCAGTCTCTCCCTTAGCACCAGGCTGACCATCAGCACCCTGAAATGAACAGAAAGGAGTTGGTGAGATATACTTACTTTCTTAAAATAAACAGAAAAACACTAATTTAAAAATGTTTTTAAATTATTATTGAAAGTTTCTTACAGGAGGTCCAGCAAATCCGGCAGGTCCAGCAGGGCCAGTCTCTCCACGCTCACCCTGAAATAATCAAATAACAAAATATGTTTTATTTACCATAATTTTTTTATTCAAAATGCCAGTGAAAATGTGTTACAGTGAACTTACAGGAGATCCACGAGGTCCAGTGGGTCCAGCAACGCCAACAGCACCAGGCTCTCCCTAAAACAGAATCATATTTGAGGATGAAACAATATAATACACAAGTATAAATAATAATAAAAAACATTCTCTCTTCTCACCTTCTCACCCTGAGCACCAGGAGGTCCAGGCACTCCAATGGCACCAGTCAGACCACGAGCACCATCTTTACCAGGGGCACCATCAGCTCCTTTGGGACCACCATCGCCCTGACAAAAAAAGACACATTATAATACTTGTCTATTTATTTGGTTTTATAGTATTTAAATGTGTGTATCATAACAGCACTCACTCTCTCTCCCTTGGCTCCGGGGATACCTCCAGCTCCTCTCTCTCCGGGCATACCCTGCATACCGGGGGCACCAGCAGCACCAGGGGCACCAGCAGGACCAGGCTCTCCCTACAGAGGGACAGAAGATATAAGGTTATTATTCATCATTATAAACACAGCTAGAGACATTGGCTTTACAAAATATAGTCACTAAGTTCACATTTTTATTAAAATGTTTGTGAAACACACCTTGGCACCATCGTTTCCAGGAGTACCAGGAGAGCCACGAGCGCCAGTGGGACCACCAGCTCCAGGACCTCCACGCTCACCAGGGAATCCTCTCTCTCCCTACAGGAGCACCACACAGGGATTATTTAAACATAACAGGGTAACATATCTGTATACATATGGTTTGGTAAATATGGGCTGTACTCACTCTGGGTCCAGATGGGCCAGGAGGACCAACCTCACCAGGAACACCCTGATCAAGAAAAGTACACATCATTATCACAGCATTAATGCAAAGTAATTGACTGAAGTCATCCACTTGTCTAGGTGTCGTACCTGCTCTCCGGGTTTGCCGGTCTCACCAGTTGCTCCTTGGGGTCCAGGGAGACCCTGGAATCCAGGGGCTCCAGCAGGTCCTGCCTCTCCCTTCTCTCCAGCAGGTCCCTGGACACAGAGAAGATATTAGGTTCAGTTGGACTTTAGGTGGATCACAGAAACTTAAACAGTAAGGGCAAATGGGACAAAGAGTGGGGTCTTACAGCGGGGCCAGAAGGTCCAGGAGCACCAACATCTCCATCTTTGCCGGCGGCACCCTATAATCACAACACAAACATCAGCACTTATTATCTGCGTGGTTATTCAGCTGATTATAAAAGATGTCCTATTTAAACTTACAACAGCGCCAGAAGCACCAGCAGGGCCTCTCTCACCAGGTTTGCCAGGCTCACCCTGAGAAAATGGGTCATCATTTTAGAAATATTCAAAGTGTGATACATAATGTACATGGCAGTTTCTCTCAAAACCACACTCCAGCAGGTTAATTCACTTACATTGGTTCCCTTGGGTCCGGGGAATCCCATGACTCCGGGTTGTCCTCTGGATCCAGAGGGTCCAGGGGGGCCAGGACGGCCATCTTGTCCAGGGGCACCCTAAAAGTAAATGCAACAGTAAGATCAATATTGTAGTGATCAAGTATTGATTAATCAGGCATTTAGTATAGTACTTACAGCAGGTCCAACTTTGCCATCAGAGCCAGGTGTTCCAGGGCTACCAGTCACACCCTAAGACAAAATCACATTTATATATTATATATATATTAACATTCATTAAATATCATGTATATGTGAGGTAAAACTAATGCAAAGCAAAACATTCTTTTAACTTTATAAGATATTTTGTAGTTAGACAGTGTGTTAAATAGTTACAAGTTCTGAGATTTGATGCTTATGATTATGATTTTGATTTGATTGAAATAAGGATAAAGGACTGAGGCCTAATTTTTTATAACCATACAGCACATGATTGTGTAAAAAATATAACAATCTGTTCCCAAAACATACCTTAGATCCGGGGGCACCAGGAGCTCCAGGGCTACCAGCTTCACCAGTGGCTCCCTGAGCACCCAAGGGTCCAGGGGCACCACGCTCACCAGGGGCACCCTATCACACATGAGGAGATCTGTTAAACTTATGAACAGGAATAATATGAAGTAGTGACCTGTGACTTAAATCTGAAATGGTACTGACTTTGCCTCCAGCAGCACCATCAGCACCAGGGAAACCACGAGCACCAGGGGCACCCTACAATGATCGACAAAAACAACAAAGGTGAGGCAACATATTGCAAGAAAGACTGATGTCATTTTTATATACTTAATATAGGTTCAACAGAGTGGTTGTCCAAATTTTTTCTTGTTTGTTCATTTCTAGTATCTTTTCATTTTACTTCATTTGGAGAAATGTATCTTTTCTACTATGACCTGTTGATCTGGCAAATATTATGTTTTGCTAACAATTTTTTTAGCAACTTTGTGATTTTCACTAGGCTACTGTTTCATAAAAGTTATAATACAGTCTAAGGTAAAGGTCATATTACAGGCCCAATATGTACTATCTTTGTGTTTTGGCAGTAAAGCTTGGCACAGATTGGATGTATTGTCATTATTAGAGATGTCTAATTAGGGCTGGTCAATTAATCACATTTTAATCAAGATGGTGATGTCGAATTATCAGTCATATGCTTGGGATAGGTGAGGTCTACAGCTAGTCCTCTATCAGCAGGTGGTTTAGAGCAGAGTTCAGACTTGATATATTTGTGTTAAATAGCACTGATTAAAAGACCCTCTTGTTTATGTTCATATAATCAATACTAAAAGCCAATTTTTGAATGCCATCAAATGGAAAATCAAGGTTGATCAATTGCCAATAACGAGTTTTTTAAGGGTGAATTTTTAAGAGTGTCACATACGCGCTCTCCGGGGGGTCCGCGGGCTCCAGCACCACCAGGCTCTCCACGAGCTCCTCTCTTTCCCTCCTCACCGCTGGGTCCAGGCAGTCCCTGGATACCGGCTGGGCCCTGGACACAAAATACATCATTACAAATTAACAAATTAATCAGACACAAGTATAGATAAGTAATCCCATCTATAATCAATAGTCACAGTTAAGAAAATATTTTTAACCCAGCCAGGAGCGTTTCACATTTGAGAGAAGATTGAAATATGAACTAATACAACTATATTTGTTTGTACACATCATTTTGTTTGTACACATTGTAAGGTTAGCAGTTTTTTTTAATAATCAGATGGGATAGCTTGCAGAAGATATTATTGTTACAATACTATAATATAATTTAACTCATTTGCAATTCATGACTATTCAGAATGTGATTTCAATTTGTTTGGAATTAATCATAAATACAGTTTATCAACAGATTAATGTTGAGTCTGGCTGGATACAAGCTATTAATTCTTTATTACTGACCAGAGAACTGTAAACTGAATAGATTTTTGGGGGTAAATAACGTTGACTGATTTATTGATTAACTGACTTCTTGTAGCAAGTTGGATGTCCTGCTCATGGACACAACAACACAGGAAGTAAAGATGTCTAAGCCTTCAGTTTAGTGGGTGAAAACTCTAGTGACTGATCTGCTGCAAATATTTCAATATATTATTCACTTACAGGCTCTCCCTTGGCACCGGGCTCTCCCCTGGCACCGGTAAGACCTGGCTCACCCTGTGGACAGAAGCATAAACATTAATGTACCTTAATAATTGAACAAAGTTTAAATTATAACAAGACTTAATGTTATTTTTTGTTTACATTGTTTCCTTTGGCACCAGGGGCACCAATAGCTCCCTGGCCTCCGGCGGGACCACGAGCTCCGGGGAAACCAGGAGCACCAGCAATTCCAGCGGGACCCTAAACAGAAAAGGTGAGTGAGTGGATGGATAGGATACAGATAGACAATAGAGGTGGGTGACCAAAATTAAATATATTTTAGTTCATTTTCCCTACAATAATAATCAGATAATATTTTGGGTAGTCCATCAGAAATGCGCAATAATATGCATGTGTATTTTTCTTAATTAAGGTTCATGTACTGTGCAAAGTGAATATAAAATATAGGAAAAAAAATGTAACTTGATACCTAATGTTTGGAAGATTACACTGCATGTTTCTTAGCTGTATTCATTTCCACTTTTTGCAGTTTATTGACAATGTTCATATCTTTTCATTATACCTTAGATATATCTGAGGTTACATTTTTGGCAATCCATCATAAAGTTGCTCAAACCTGCCAGTACATTTCCTGATTAAGGTTCATGTAATGTATGAAAACTGGAAGGAGAATAAAAGTAAATATCACCTAATAATATTGTATGAAAGATAATACTGCAAGTTAATTTTCAGCCCTTTTGCAAGTTTTCTTACAATAGAAGATATATGACAATTCTGATATCTTGTGGTTGACATTTTCCCCATCCCTAGTGTAAAGCATGGACATAAACAAGCTGGTTATACTCACAGGAGATCCTTTAGCACCAGGGGAACCATCAGATCCAGGGTTGCCCTATTAGAAGAGAATTGTTGTCATTAGCAACATTAAAACATCAATACTCTGTTTAAAGTTCTCTGATATAGGTGTATATTATAGGTTTATATTATGTAAGTAAGTAAGTCTTTATTTATATAGCGCTTTCACAGACATTTTGGATTATACTATACTTACAGCAGCTCCGGCAGGTCCAGCAGGTCCAGGGTTACCAGCCTCTCCGCGAGCACCCTGGGGTCCCTCAGCACCACGAGCTCCCTGAGGACCAGTCTCTCCCTAAACAAGAGCAAAAGATTTATTATAGCGTGTCTAGCGTGGGAGTAAAATCATATTGTCGTCAGTCATAGTTTAAAGTCCACACTGTTGTGGAAACAAATAATCCACAATAGGCAACATCCTCCACTGCTTCCTGGGCCGTAAACAGATCTAAGTCACCTTCACTAGCCCCTTTCAATGTGGAGGAGCAGCATTTCTACTCTGAGATACTCCTGGGTGACAGAGCTTGTCACCAAAGGCAATGACAATATTTCATAGATTATACAAATATTCTACTGTTAAATTACACAAAACTACTTCTGGCATATCAGACAGTGCAACTTTGTTAAAAAATAAAACAATCTTTTAGTTTCCATAGAATAAGTACCTCAGAGGAATTAAATAAGTATATAAATATGATCAAAGGCTAACACTTGTTCCATGATCCTCTGGATATTCCTGCTGATCCCAGTCTGAAATTTAGGTAGATGCATTCAAACAAAATATATAGCTATAGAGTTATTCAGTGATAGTTTAAATATGTGCTCATTGTTAAAAGTCTACTATAAGCTTCACAATACACTGGTGATCCTGTGTATATGGGCCTTAAGCAAAACACAGACCCTGTATTTGTTTTACTCCATACATAGTATTAAAAGCAGCATGTGCAGATTCTGGTCTATTTCACATGCAAAGTGCTCAAATTCAAGCTTGCTTCTCTCATTCTCACAAGGATAACCTGTATCAGATCAGAGCAAAGCCAGATGCTAAACTGAGGCTTGCTCTGGGTAAAGGGGGAGAGGGGAGGGGGGAGGAGGGGCTGGGGCAGGGGGTATTAGAGGTGTGCTGGTGCCATCTGGTGGCTACAGGGTTCAATCAGAGTTCAGGGGACTAGTATTAAGACTCTTGGATATTGGTGACAAAGTGCAATATTAATATTTTGGTCACTGAAAACATACCTTAGCTCCAGCACCACCAGGGAATCCAGGAGGACCAGAAGGGCCGGTGGGTCCCTGAAATGTACAAAGAAAGATTTATTGAAACAACTATTGACAATGACTAAAATAGAAGACATTTTCGACAAAGATGTATAGATTAGACATAATGTATTATTTGAGTCTATCCATGGGGTTCAAAGGAATTAAAAATTAGCACTGTTGCCATAGCAATTAACAAATAACACAGATATCCTCAAAATGTCACCTATAACAGGAAGTTCAAACCCATGAATATTTCATTGCAATAGAATTTTTTTATTTTGTAAATTATGAACTGGATGAAATTTTATTGTATTTTTTATGTTTATTGAACCATGTATAAATGTAAATAGAAAACTGTACATATTTCAGTAATAATGAATAAACTTCTTTCTTTCTGAATACTTACAGGAGGTCCAGCAGGGCCGGTGTTGCCATCGTTACCACGAGCACCCTGATCAGAAGAGAAAGAATAATTTAAATATAATACAAATCTTCAAAAATTAAACTATAAATCAATCATAGGCTATTGTCTTACAGAGGGGCCAGGGGGTCCAGGGCGGCCTCTCTCACCGGGGAGACCACGAGCACCCTACACAAATGAAAAACACATATGATTTAGTTTATAATAACCATAAAAAGAAACAGATATTTAACACACAGTTGTACCATGTGGAAGGAAAGTATGACCTAAAATGTGACTAGTGTATCTGCTTGTCTTATATGTTATTCCTCACTATTTTTATTTTGTTTTCATTTTGTTTTTATTGTTTTGTTTTGTTTTACTGAGAGAAGCTTGATAAATATTTAAATTATCTACTACAAAAAGGTTGTAACTTACCATAGCACCGGGGATACCATTGTCACCAGGAGTACCAGGCTCTCCCTATGAAACAGTAGCAAAAAGAATTAGATTTAGTTGTCCAGGTTAAATAATAATACACCACAACAATGGTTTTTGATTTTACCTTGGGTCCAGCAGGTCCAGAATCTCCCTTAGCTCCATCTAGACCGGGGAAACCCTAAACAAGAGCAAGACGAACAGATTTGGTAAGAAAACTGAACAGGAAACCCCATTTGAAAATAGAGATTCAGTACTGACTCTGTGTCCCTTGATGCCGGGAAGTCCAGGAGTTCCGGGGAATCCACGGGCACCCTGAAAGAAAAGAGAATCAACATTTAAAATATTAGTTTAGTAGTAGTAGACGTAGTTGCATCCAGTATATATGAATGGTATTTATGTAGCTGTACATTGGAAATTATAAGAAATTTTATGTCAGTTTAACCTTGTGACCTTTGAACTCTGGGGTCACTCACCTGGGGGCCAGCAGGTCCACGCTCACCAGGGCGACCAGGTTTGCCAGGCTCACCCTAAAGATACAAACAGCAGATTTGAGATAATATAAGTTTAGATGTATCTAAATTTACATTTGACAAATAACAAAATGTCAATGGAACTATTTTTTGATGAAAAACAAAAACCTACATCATCTCCGTTCTTTCCAGGAGGACCAGCAGGACCACGTGAACCCATGGGACCCTAAAATGGAATAACAGATGTTTTCAATGTAAACGAACAAAACAGCTTCAACTTGCAATCAGTGTTCGATGTTAGAATCATTCAAAAATATAAAATGTTACTTACAGCAGCACCGGGCTCACCAGGCTCACCAGGGGGGCCAGTGAAACCTTGGGGACCCTATATGAAACAAAACATTATCATAAATTTATTTTTTACACATTTCTGATTTGATGTGAGGAGAGGGGTACTTACAGAGTTTCCAGGAGGTCCAGGGGGGCCACGGGGACCCATGGGACCCTGTTATTTGAGAGTGAAAAGAGCCTTTAGTTTGTGATAATTAGACTGATATTGTAAAGACATTTCTGATGGTGAATTTGTGTGTGTGTATATGCGCGCGCGTGTGTGTGTGGAGCAGGTGCTTTACCATGGGACCAGGCTGAGGAGGGCCGCTGGATTTGGAGTGGTCAGTATAGGACATTTGAGGAGAGTAGTTCTGTAAGAACAAGCAAAGGAAGTGTGTTGACTTTAGTCAAAATGCTAAGGCTAACATGCTTTATAGATATTTTACTTAAATTAAATAGGTGCATATAATATATAAAAATACCTTTGAGCATCAGCAGTACTATTTTTCCATTTTAATTTACACTGACACAGAGTTAGTTTGTTGGTGTAAAGGTAATATACACCATATATATATAGTTCACTGAATTTAACAAATAACATTACATCATTTTATTATCATTGGTTGACATTTGGTGACCCAAACTCAAGTATGTTTTTCCAGCTCAGATTCACCATAAACCACATGTTATAATGACAGTCACAGATGATATAAAAGAGAAAATGAGACACTTACTCCACCGAGGCCAGGGGCGCCAGGAGGTCCGGGAGGTCCTGGGAGACCGGGCTGTCCGTCAATACCGTCATTTCCAGGAGGACCAGGGGGACCCTGAGCAAACATAAAGAATGATGTGGATCAGACAAATATATCTTTCAGTTTTTCTTTCAATAAAAACTAAAACATAAAATAAAATAATATGTAATTCTTAATTGTCATTCATGTGAAGTGCAATGTTCTCAGGGGGATTTGTTTCACTGTCTCATAATGAATATTGACCTTTGAACTTTTAATGACCTACTGAACTTTTGACCTTTACATTACATCACACATCATTACAAGATACTGTAGCATAGCTTAACTGGCACATGCAAATATTAATCTTTACTTTTTTTGTAATAAATGCACTGGATCATCTGGATCTATCAACAGAATTGTGGGGGACTGGGACAAGATGGGCCCCTAAGACCCAAACCCCTTTTCCCGCTTCAAATATTGATATTATTATAATCAATATTTGCAAAGTACTCTTGGAAAGATTGACAGCTACGACTGCGAAGACATCTAGCTAGTATATATGTTTATAAAACAGAGGGGGAAGTATGAAGGCGAGCATGAACTTACCGGGTCTCCTTTAGGTCCACGCTCACCTGGGATTTCCTACAGAAAAAAACAAAAAAAAATTGTTAGGATTTTCTGCTTTAGGGAGACTAATATAATGTAATGTAACGACAAAGACCAAAGAGAAGATGAAAAGGAACTTACAGGAACTTCAGTAATGGGTCCTGGAAACCAAAATAAAAGGACACAATAAATATCTCAATAAGAAAGTTTTTCACTATAAACTTAAGAACAGATTCTGCAAGAGGACTCTAAAGCCCATTTCACAGTTGCAGGCTTAGGCCTTGTATGTTTTTGACTGAACTTGACATATGCAGGTAGTGCTGCTTCCAGTAATTTCATTACTGAGATTATTAATATTAGGAAAGGCTTCAACAAAGCAGGTATATTCCAAAAACTGGATTTTAAAGGCAAAAATTGTAATTCCAAATGGTCGTTTTGGTGAATCCAAAGAAGGCCAAAATGCCGACCTGTTTTTGGACAGGCAGACACGTGACTGCATAGGTCAAAGGTGAGCATGGGGCACTAGGTGGCGCCACTGCGCAGTAGTGAGGTGCAGAGTAGAGCATGGCACGGTACCATCGGGGCAGATGGGGCAGCACTCTCCCTCGGGGATGATTGGGTCTTCGCAGTCGTAGCTGTCTTCGCAGATCACATCGTCGCACAAAACGCTTCCGCTGTCACACACACAAATCTGGCAGGGCTCGGGTTTCCATACATCCTTATCGTTGTAAAACTGTCCATCGGATGTGCAGCTGCCGAGTGGGTCTGAAAAGAGGAGAAATGTAAGTATTTACATAGTAAACTCCAGAAAAGTAACTGTTTTGGCTGTGGCCCTGAGCACGCGTTAACACTAAACTGAAACACTTCACACACCCTATAAACTAAGTTTTCACTTGTGCGTATATTTGAGTGATTGGTAGCCCGCGTGTGAACAGGCCTACCTGCCAGCAGTTGGCTAGATTTTGTTTGCTACGTAATTTAAAATAATACAACTAAAAACACATAATTTTAAATATGCACTTTTGACGAGAGGATATATAAATGCGTGATTTTTCTTTTAGTAGCTGAGCATATGGATGATGCGCTTGCTGTATACGTTTTGACCACAAGGCGGCGCCATCTACTCACAGTGAGAGCTCCTCCGCGCCCTTCGCTGGTGATTAATTAGTGTCTAGACAAATTTGGTGTCGACGTCAAGCTAAAACAATTTTCTTTTCCATTAACTTAAAAAGTTTATTTCTGTGCAAAAGAGAAGTGCTTTGTTTTTTCTATTATGTGGTGATTTACAGAAAAAGATAAGTTCCTAAACGGTGTAAGTGCATACCGAAATCTTAATTTTAAAACATCATAATTAATATGGCTCTTCGTTTAAATTTCAGTGAAAAGTCTAAAAAGACTGAGAAGTCTAATTGTCCAGGCTTAGGCCTAACTAGGCCATGGACGGAAAACATCTGTTAAACGCTGCATATCTTGGCACGTGTGGTAGAGTGGGGTGGTTCGTTCAAAACGTCGTTTTGGAGCAGACTTTCGCTCTGCAAAGGTGCAGTGGATGTCTAAATATCAAACTTTGCCCTTGTCTGTGTTTGATTTAGTTTTGGGTTTGCTTCAACTCTTTGTGAACCCAGTGTCCTGTCGTTACGCATCAGAGCGCAGCTGCTCCCCTCGGGTCCCCAGGACGCACACTGAGCAAGTACGTGCACGTTACTGAGAGAAGCACAATAAAAAAAAAAATCCGGTCTATACGATCGCACAGTTGCTTCAAAAACTCCGTAAAAAAGTCGATGTGAAACACGTTGCCCCATCACTGCCCACTGGAGTCAGGTATCCCGCAGAGCAGTCCCAGCATCCTCCTGCGTTATCCACATCCTCAAGGCGCCAGTGCCACAGTCCCAAATCTAGCCAAAGCAAAGTTTGAAAGTGGTACTTACTATCATCCTCGCCTTGTCCTCTCGCCAAAAGCACCGCTGCGCTGAGCAGCAGCGCTATCCGAATATCCACAAAGCTGAACATGTCTAAATATTAGACATGTAGATTCTTTGTGGTAGGGGAATCCTGTTTCTCCTCAGACTCCACTCATATACGGTAGGGTCCGGTCTGTGCGTAACTCCAATCCAGACCCCTAGCAGAACCTCCCTACTGCCCAAACAAATGACTTAGCTAGGCTTTTATATGCCTGGACTTTTTTAGGGAGGTCCTGCGCTTAGGATAACTGGTACATGTTGGAATCAGAGTCCCGCCTTCATCACACAGGGGCCGCCTTAAAACATGTCAAACAAGTTCACGTTGCCCATCCAACGTGGATGATGAACGTAGACACCATTTACGCACCGGCATCGCGGCGTGAGACGCGTCTCCTCTTTTCCCAGGATTAATAGCTATACCAACTCTCTTGCAACTATTTTCGCTCCAATAACGTAGAGGTTGTTTTTGTTTTTTGCATGTGAACATAAGAGAATAGTCAGAAGAAAGTGTGTTTTGGATGTGATTGGAAGAAGCCAGTGAATGCTTGTAACAATTAGGATATTCTTGTTTATAGTTTAATTGCAGCCCAACTTGTTCAAGTGGCCAAACAACTGCTTTGTCCTGCACGTTATACCCTGGCATGGTAAGGACTGGGATTTATAGAGGTGTCAAGCACTTTCTAGACCTAGCAAGAAGATATTTTCATTATTGCCAGAAATGAAAACAGTTAGTCATGTCTATTGCAAAAGAAATAACAAGACTCAGGTTTGTGTAGACCTGCATTATGGAAATATACAGTTTTATGATGTGCATAAACTTGATTAGAGAGCTTAGCTAATCTTATCTAGTCAACGTTTCTCCAAACACCATCTTCCCATCAATATTGTCCAATCATATTATTGATGTAAACTACACCGTGCACTTCTGGTTGAATATTTGAGATAACTTAAAATCATGGATGATCTTCAGAAGGCCCGCCCCCCACCTCCAGCATCTCGCCCGTCCCACAGCGTCTGAGTGGAGAGAAATGGGAGAAGAAAATCTGGCTCCTCCACAAAGCAGTGTCTGGATGTGATGTGGACACGTTGCAACTTCAACTACAGAGCAACCCAGTCTGACCTCTCATTTAGCCATACATGTCATCATTTCACCAACATAAGTCTGTACCACCAAACCTCATGCAACTGGACATTTATTAAGAAGAATTCGTCCCCTTAGAATTATGTATAAGATATTTAAATTTAAAGGGGCATTGTGCAACTTTTCTGGTGGAGAGTCTGCTACCTGCTTTTCTCCATGGAGATGTCATTGTTGCATTTGAAATGTTTCACAGTATGGCACCTGCCGATCAGCATGGAGCCCAAACCAGGCCAAGTTACTGGTCAGATATGTGTTTTCTAAGTATTTTTGAGCAATAAAACCAATAAAATAAATGTATAGTAGAGCTGTTTAGTGTCATATTAGGGGAGAGTCCAAGCAGAGCAATGACATATCCATAGAAACAAGAACGTGACGGACTCCCACGCGAAAAATTACATAGTAAACCTTTAAAGTTCTAACCATTCTTAGCACAGTGAGTGTGAGTGAGTGGGGAAATGGATTTGTGCTCATATAAATTTAAGAAATGCAACATATCAATATAGCAAGATTATACAAACAACTAAATTTTGTTAAAAAATAAATAAAAGAAAAAAAACATCAGATAGCATCTTATTGAATAGATTTTTATAGTTTTATGTGCACAGAGAGATATTTTTGCACCTGACTGACTAAACCTAATGATTGACTATTCAGCTCAGTGTTGTTGCAAATCACATGAGTACTTTCCTATTCATTTCTGGTATATATTGTTTTAAAGGTGCATTGCACAACTTTTCTGGTGCAGGGTCCACTACCCACTTCTCTCCATGGAGATGTTATTGCTTTGCCTGGACTGTTCCATGGTATGACTTTAAACATATCCATCTAGCATTTATTCATTAAGGGTGTTTCTATTGCTCAAAAATACCATAATTGCTTCTATGAATAGGATCTGAATTATAACTGTAATCTGCTTGTCTCCCTTGTGATAAATCGGTTTAATCTATACTGTGTAACATTTTAGACAAAGCAACTTTACCCTTGAGAACTGCTTAAAGTCTCATTCAGCTCAACTGCATCCAATAAGCAAAACTGTGAATGAAATGTTAGTGAATATTAATAAAATACATTTACTGTTATGGCAATCTGGCACTTTAGGACCAACAGATACAGGGCTGGTTAAGTGTCTTGCTCAGTGGTGTGGCATGGTTTGTGGGAATAAAACCGGTACTGCAATACATAGTTTTACATTTACCTACTGATATCCTCATCTTGATCCTTTTGCCTTGAGTGTAGCTTTTAGAAGAGACTGAAGAGACTGGAAGAAGCTCTCAGCTCAGAGTAAAATAGAAGTTGTAATTTGGGTGTTTGCGTTGGACAGTCTGTGGAGTGTTTATGTGGCGACTCTCAGTTCAGACTCTGGTGGTTTGGGTGGAAGCGGCACAACGAAGAGGCCATACTGCTTTTGTATTCAAATGCTAGCCATTTTCAATTCTTTCCAACTGAGTATTACCGGCTTTTCATGTGAACTTAATCCATTGGTAATAGGTCTCTCACGATAAATACTATGCTGTACTATGTCGACTATATCAATCGTTCTATAAATAAAAAATAGAACTATATTTTTGGGGGGTCAGTACTTATCCTGTGTACGTTTTTTACACTCCTACTGTACACTACTGGTAACGTTTGAGTTATTTTTTGACTGTCGGATAACAATTAAGGCTTAAAAGTAGAATAAAAAACTAATATGACGAAGTACTAAAGTGTTTAATTCAGCTATTTTTATTGCAAATCTGCTTTAGGGTCATTGTGTCAGTGGCATACATTAGTTGCAATATTATCGTTTATCACCAATATTTACTTCAATATATTGAATTTCACAATGTGTTATCATTGTCTAATTGGTAACTTATATCTGTCCTGAATAATGTTACAGGAACAGTACAGTTTGGTGTCTGAAGACTGTTTAGATGTGAGGCAATAATAAATAATGATAAAAAATTGAATTGTGAACCTATCCGTCTGTTATTTTGTCATTTTATTGTGATTCAGTGGTTCTCTTTCTCTTTCCTCCACCTTTTTTTGTTTAGCCTCTACATGCTCTGAGTGAGTGACAGGTGAATTGAAGCTATTACAATGAAATGTGGAGGAGTAAATGGCTTAAGTTACCTCCTACAGGCATTGTATAGACACTATGTAAACATGAGCTGTGATGAAATCAAAAATTGTAATTTAGCTTAAAGGTGCACCATGCAACTGTTCTGATGGAGGTTCCACTACCTACTTGTCTCCATAGAGCTGTTATTACTTTGCCTGGAATGTTCCATGATATGACATTAAACATATACATGTAATGTAGCATAGTGCTGTAACCTGCTTGTCTCCTGTGTTATAGTTTAATCTATACTGTGAAACATTGTAGACCAAAGCAATAACATTACCATAGAGTGAGCAGCTGGCAGACCCTTCCATGTTACACAGCGTACCTTTAAGTTAAAAACACTGATATGATTGGGGTCAGTTGTTACTGGTTTTTACGAATAGTCTTACAGTAACTACAGCTGACTACACTGTGTGCGCCTCCCTGCAGCCGTGTGCATTCTCTGGCAGACTGTCTCTGTCCTCAGTCCTTCCTCTGTCCACGTGTTTCTACTTGTATGGGACTCTCTCACTGAAGCTGCTCCTGCACTCCTCATTTTGGCTCACTTTCTCTTTGTGCTAGAATAGACCTGTCATTATAACAAATATGATAATGAAACACTTAAAGCTACCATCTGTAATTAGATAGGCCGACCCGCCCCCATTTTATTCTCACGTATCACCACTAGATGCTACCTATGTTACTGCTGTCTGATAAGTGTGTCAGCTTTGGCCTGACAGAGAAAGCCTAGAGACCACAGCTAAGCAAAGACAGAATCGTATCCTGCAATAAACTTACATATAGTAGTTTTAAAGATCACTTTTCTGGTGATGTCATCCATTGCTTTGCCTGAATTTTTCCCCAAAACACACATAATTGACTAAGATAGATACTGTATATAGATGAGTTTAATGCCATATTGTGGCACCTTCCAACATGGAGGTGAGCAGATGGTGGGTCCCTCACTAAAACGTAGCATAGTAGCACATTTAAAGTAGATAGATTTTTTTGTTATTATTTGACCATCTCTACGGTTCATATTTTAACATACTACAAAAATATTAGTATAGAATGCTGTTAATTTGTCATTTAATGAATGATAAGTTAAGGCCTATTCTAGATCCTTAATATTGTATTTACTAAGCACTTATTTACCTAGGCACTCTATTATATCTATTAGACCCTGACCGATATATCGGTTGGCCCATCTGAGCACCTGGAAGCATATGTTTGCTGATAGGGGCCGATATTTCACGTGGGCATGTTATACCTCGTTATAAATCTTAGACTCTCTACATTATGTTCATTTAATCCAATTTACAGACAGATAAATGTCCTAATATGTGGCTCTGCATCAGTATTTATCTGTGGAGTCATTTGTCAGTGTGTGTGTCCGTATTGTCCCTGAACGCACCCCCAGAGTCACATGCGTTTGTTTACACCCGCAGACATAGATCCATGTGCGCAACACTGACATTATTTTCTTTTCTCGGTCAATCGTTTTGAGTCTGGATCAAAAGAACATTTATTAGTGCAGACTTGTGATGTCAGGAGGAGCCTGTGTGAGCGGTGAGTGTTGGAAATATGTCGACTTTGAAGTTAGTTTTGGTTCGTTCTGATAGGTTAGCATTAGCTGCTGTAGCTCTCACACATAAACAGGCTGTTTTCTATTGGTCTATTGTAAAGTGACTATATTGGCCATATATTTGATACTGGACCTGCACTGATATGTAAATGAGCTTTGAATAGAGGTGTGCATTTACGGCTAAAGGCTAATGGCGATTGTTTATTTACTCGCTAGTAGTGATGGGTCGGTCGTGAACGAAGCGGCTTTTAGAGCCGGCTCTTTGAAGCGAACGACGGGAGCGTATTGGGATTGAGAGCCGTGTTTCTCTTCACGCTGCGTGCAGACTGGTGATAGTTTGACAGCAGCAGCGGCT